GACTGCCACTTGTATAGGCTTGTGACATTTTTCATCCTTAATTCTATCTTTCTCGGAACGCCCATGTGCGAGATATAAAATAAACTAGCAGCAGGTACAATGTCATCCAGTAAATAATCCTAGGAAATGGTGGAATTTCCATCTGAAATGTAGGACCTGCTAGAGACTCTAGGAAATTGCTTCTTTGGCTCACAGAGCACGTAGGCCATCTGACATTACTTCATGGATTACCTACGTTCACGGGCACTGAAACGTCTTTTAAAATGTTTGCGCACATGACTAATAGCTTATTTTAACATTCCTAAAACGAGGTAAGAGAAAAGTCTTTCTGAAAAGGTGTCAATTTGGTGAAAATTAGAGAAATGGCCTTTGGGTGTGATGAGACTTCAAGAAGCAGTTGTTTCTTCACTTGCGTAAATAAAAAGGTACAATAATGAGACTGAATAATTTTTGAAAAAAAGGGCTTTAAATGTATAGCTCTTCTACAGCACTAAGCGAACATGTATGGGAAACAGCGCATAGGATAAAATGGGAGCAAGTTCCAAAGGGGATAACAATTAAGAGTTTTCGCGTGTTTTTTTTTTGAGGGTTTTTGGCGTCTTTGGGCCGATGGACGAGGGTGACGTATCTGATACATTTAAAAAGATACAGATAACCTCATGCTCGCTTGTCGTTTTGGAGTAGAAATGTTTACACTCTGGGGGTCCTGGGCTATGCTGTTTTAGGTGGCGCAATAAAGGCTTTGCTCAATCTGAGTATGCTACGGGGTTTTTCATATTATTGTGGTAACACACTGTATAGGAATATGAAAATGAAAAGAGAAGACAAATGATGTGTCACCTGGAAGACAGATAAACAAAATATATTGTATTTTGGATTTCATGGTTCATTATGAATGGATGTAGCTACTACAAAATCACCACTTAGCGAACATGTACGGGAAACAGGACATAGGGTAAAATGGGATGAACTCGTAAAGAAGATAACAATTATGGGTTTTCGCGTGTTTTTTTTTTGAGGTATTTTGGCGTCTTCGGGGCGATGAACGAGGTTGACGTATCTGATACTTTTAAAAACAACAGATGACCTAATGTCCGCTTGTTGTCTTGGAGAACATCATTTTTGGAAGCCAGAATGTCTGCTCCCTAGAGGTTCTGGGTTATGTTGGCTTTGCGTGGCGCTGTCTAAAATATGGAATAATGGCTTTGGTCAATCTCAGTATGTTACAAGGTTTTTCATATTATTATGGTAACACACTGTATAGGATTATGAAAATGAAAAGAGAAGACAAATGATGTGTCACCTGGAAGACAGATGAACAAAATATATTGTCATTGTAATGAAGGTCATCGTTGTGACCGAAGCTTGTACAATGAAAAAGAGAAATATGGGGCTTATTTGATGGTAACGGGTGATTTTTTAAGAGGTATAGGATTTGATTTTCAAAAAAAAACACAGAAAATTTGGAAAAACGAAAATGCGCAAGGTACAATTTTGGCACACTCTCTCCAACATATCGGCCGGTATCTCACGAATAAATGCTTCAATATTGGCTTCCAGTGCATTAATCTTTGCTGGTTTATCCCTGTAGACATTAGCCTTAAGATGGCCCCACAAGAAATAGTCCAACGGCGTTAAATCACACGATCTAGGCGGCCAATTGACGGGCCCCAAACGTGAGATAAACTGTTCACCGAACTCGCCTCTCAATGGGGCCATTGTTTCGTGTGCGGTGTGGCATGTGGCACCGTCTTGTTGAAACAACATGTCAGCCAAGTCCAGCTCTTCTATTTTGGGCAAAAAAAGTTTGGTATCATCGCACGGTAGCGCTCGCTATTCACAGTTACGTTCCGGCCATTGTCGTCTTTGAAGAAGTACGGCCTGATGATGCCACCGGCCCATAATCGACACCAAACAGTGATTTTTTCGGGATGCATTGGTAGCTCTTGCAATGCTTCTGGCTGGTCTTCACTCCGGATGCGGCAATTTTGCTCATTAACGTATCCATTCAACCGGAAATGAGCTTCGTCGCTGAACACAATTTTTCGATAAAAGTGTGGATCTTCCTCCAACTTTGCCAGCGCCCATTCACCAAATTGGAAACGTTGTGGTACGTCGTGTGGGTTCAATTCTTGCACCAGCTGTATCTTATAAGGTTTTACACCCAAATCCTGTCTCAAAATTTTCCACGTAGTGGAGTAACAGAGGCCCAATTGCTGCGAACGGCGGCGAATCGACATTTCACGGTCATCACTAACACTGGCGGATACAGCCGCAATATTTTCTTCAGTCCTCACTCTACGTCTGCGTGTTGGTGGTTTAATGTCCAATAATGTAAACTGGGTTCGAAATTTAGTCACAAGCTTCCGAATAGCTCCCTCAGTAGGCCGACCAAATTGCCCATAAATTGGAAGCAGTGCTCGATGCACTCTCTTAACCGAGCATGAATTTTGATAGTAAAATTCAATAATTTGCAAGCTTTGTTCGTTCGTAAGTCGATTCATGGTTAAATTATAGACCAAACTGAACAAGTTTGTCAATGACACAAGACACGATTCACGCGTCATCTGTCAAAAACAGTGTTGCCAAAAAGATACTGGCAAAAAAATCACCCATTAGTATCAAAGTTCTAGGAAAGTTTTTAGCACAAACCAGCAGCTTGCTTCCAGTTAGTATGACCAATGGTGTCTTCGCCTAGGTAAAACTACATTTTTCAATAGCTGAAATATATTGTTTTTACGTACGTTGACAGATAGTTCATCCAATTTCTCTGTATTTTTCCTGCTGGGAAAATCAGTCAGTAGGTTTCATTTTTGTTCAGATACAGATATATAGTTGTAATTGTCAACAAGAGAAAATAAGGATAATTCATCATTTTCCTCACATCTAACGGGAGCCTTATTCAAAAGTAGAATTCCATTCGAAGAACAGGATGTAGAAACACTTGTTATGTCACGCCACAGCTTATTAATTTAAGACTTTGGCGCGAATGTTTACCTTTGAACTTTGGAAGACAAGTTTTTACACTTTTTGTTCGTATAAAGCGTGAAACTACAAAAACTATTTTCTTTTTTGGAGGCAACATGTTGACAATCCGTGGAAAATACCTCATTATGATGAAATATTAATATTCTGTCGAGATGTCTTGAGTATAAGTTTATTAAAATGTTAGTTTGTATATGTTGTTTTATTATTCTCAAAAATACGTATATTCATCTGAAAACCTATAACCTGTTTTTTATTTTCCAGGTGAGTACCTTGCCAGTCGATAAACCATTATACGTAAGTACCTTCATTTCCTAGGAAAATCCGTAAATTTTGTCGACCACAACTTTTTATTATTTGGGAAGTAAAAGTGAATATGCTGCAGCTCTTTCTAGAATTAGCGTCTAAATTACTCACTTCCATAACCGATTTTGCCAAAAACGTCGCTTATTTAGCGCGGTGGACGTAAAAGCCGCATGCATGTATCATGTCAGCAGGAGAACAACCGGTAGAAAAACATAGCGGTCCATTTTTCTCCGGAAGCTCCTCTTAAAATATCCAGATATGAATGGTGCGTTACAAAAAAGTCCGTCGGCTCACAGCTTCAAACATCATTTTTCTTTAAGCTCTCGAAATACATCTTCTCTGAAAGAACCCGAACGCGTCTGCTGCTAGAAGCGTGAAATGGTAAAGACGTGTTGAATTTTACGCTGTACGGCTTTTGTTCGCACCGACCCTTATTTATACGCTCTTCGTGCTGTATTACTCGTTATTCTTTGAACGGTACATATACTGTGTCTTCATTAACAGAGAACTTTGTTTCTAAGTATAAATTTTCTACTGTCACGTAACTGTCTTCGGTATGAGTTATGTGTTTAAGTTTAGACTTCTTGAGTGGCTAAATAACATTATTTACCTATTATCCGTTGTCACAACTGTTGAAAGATCCATTAAAAGTATATTGAATATATGGGTAATTCTCATTTTTGATTGGAAAAAGTACCGAAAAGTAAAAACATGTATGCGTTATAATTAATGCTGGTTTTCAATAGCTTTGGTGTTGTTCTTTATAGGAAAAATACCCGCCGAGCTTGCAGACCCTTAAATACTGAATTATAGGAGTCTAAAAAAATGTCATCCACGGAAGTGACCTCAGATCCATGGAAGTGACATTTCTCAGATTAATGTATGGAAGAAACAAATCCGAAGATGGGCATTTTCAAAATGAAGAGAAATATTGTTAATTATTGAATCTTTATTCATCATGAATACTAGGTAACAAAAGCACTTTTAATTCTTATAAGTGAAAATACAAACCAAACAACTTCGGCTTATTGCCTTACACAGAAATGCTAACTGAAAAATATTTTCTTAAAGCATGCAAAAATCAGTCTCAAACATTTTCTTATAAACTTATGTGATTGTAAAGTTTAAAAAAATATCCAACTACATCAAAGACTACCTTAGTAGTACTACTCTGTCAGCCTACTTATATTGTAGGCAGTTCATCGTATGTTACTATATTCTTTGAGATCAATATTGCTAAATAGTAACTCTCCGCGCCGACCAAATGAAATGCTTTTCTGTTTTTTTTAACAAAACCTTGCAACAATCCACATTCCTTCTATTAGTAATACAGAGTTCAAGTTTGGTGGTTCATTCTCATCGCTTTCAATCAGAGCACCAGCTTTTATATGCCCTTGCAGACTAGACATATCATATCCATAGTTGTTAGGCCGTGAAGTGACATTGTCATCTTTGGAACTCAATATATTGAAATCGGTAAAACCTCTCAGCAATGAATATTGAGAACAAATTTCTCCAGGTCCGCAAGAAATACAAGATAATTTTCTCAAATGAATCCTAGCAGGATTCTCAAGGTCCCAGGTAATTTTGCTTTTTAGGACGCCTTTTCTCCGAACGACTCCTTGCTTTGCGTTCTTTCCATACTTTACGTTGATTCCGCTGTTCTCCTGCTATCATTTCAGCTATCAGCTTCACTTGCTTCTTCTAACTTTTTTCCACGTATCTTTTTCTTTTGCAGCTTCATATAAAACAGGATTTTCTTTAAATTCGAGTTCTTCGTCTTCGCTCACATTCCTTTTTCTGCTGACGCATCTCTGCTGCAGTTGTTGTGCTTTCCCCATCTAAAAAAAACTTCATAACATTCTTAAAAAAATAACACAATTGCAAGTTACTGAGTGCATCGGTCACTACCATGGATGACGCGTCACATCCATGGTCATATTTTTTATCCATGGAACCATGGAAGTGACCTCCTTGGAAGTCAATATTTCCGATACAATATCGAATAACCTAACCTTTAAATCAGGCATGGCCATTCAAATTTATCCACTTGTTTTGATATAAAAGCACATTAAAATTATTCAAACGGGAGTACACAATTGAATAGTACATACCTGTGAGGACCTACACGGTTGTGACAGCTTATGCTCGGCGAGTTTTGAGAATGAACACTTGTTTTGTAATTTCTCGTAGACGTAACGCCGGCGCCGGTGGGATAAACTAACAACTAAACGAAAAGATAGCATCTCACAGTCCGTGTATCGCCAGCTGCAGTCCGATTTGCTCGAGTTATTTTCATAAGATAACTGGTGTGACATACGTCCATGGAAAGGCCAAGAAAATCGATTACAAACTTTGACTCCGACAGTTGAGCCACATGAGGGTATTTTCTTTAAGACACCAGTTCCCTCACATCCACGGAAGGGACATTTTTGATGACTAAACAATTCAAAAAAAAACTATGATATAATTTTGACCATTCTTTTCCTAGAATAACTCTAAATTACTTATATTCAAAACACCACAAATCACCATTACATTATTCAGCTACTAAGAGTTAGAAAATTCGTAATCACAGTACTATTTTTCAAAAATGAGAATTACCCATATAGATACATTTATTGTCGATCTCGACTCGTCCGAAAAGGAGGTACATATCACACATAATTAAAAGTAAAACAAAAAAGTATAAGTATTTACAAGACAGCACAAACAGGAACAACTTTAATTTATTTACAATACCGAAAAGGCGTACGGACATTCACATATAAAAAAAGTTGTAAAACATGAGGAATATCAGAGTGCGAGGTTTTCAGACAAAGAGCAGAAACATGCTACTGATCTTTCTGAGATTAGCTGCAAGTTTGTTATGTCCTAAGTGTATTGTGCTGACTTCCCAACCAATGTGAATGTGCGTTTTGGAATACTTAGACTTTCATCTATTTCTGGTGGTTTTGTGGACACTGTATTTCTATTTTTCTGAACATATTCGTTTCTCGATCAACTCAGAGTAATCATAAATAACATAAACATAACCGAAACTATTCCATGTAAAAGTTTTGCTAAGTTAGCTTCCTGTCAGGATAAAAAAAGCAACCTGTCACAATTTTCAGTGGTTAGTACTGCCAATTTTTTGACGTAATATAGGTTTTTCTGCAAGATGTGAACTTTTTACTAGCTGTTGTACACTTGATGTGTACTTTTTTCGTAGCTGTACGTGTTGCCTGAACGTCGTGAAGCTTCAGCTATCAATGTGTGGCTCTGATGTTGTGCAACATCTGCTTCAGAGATGGTATTATTGCAGTTATAAGCTGTAAGTTGAATACTATATCTGGAAGGAAACGACAGTGCATTTTTTTATACTCCAGCTACTACGAAGGCCTAAGCCTAGCATGATTATGCAAGTAGGTGGAGGTGGCGTACGAGCCCTGTCTCATTGAAGTTTGCGCAACGCCCCGAAAAATGATATTTGTGAATTGCATAGGTACATAGTACAAATACACTTACTTGAAATATATGCAAAGCTAAACATTAGTTGAGCTTCCGCGTTTTCTTATTCCACCTGGAAATTATATAAGCAAATTTGGTGAATTTCAGAAAAGAGAGCGATAACAAAAGAAAATGCATTGTTTATGAAGTAGATTAATACTAACAGTTGAGAAAATACAGGAATATTTATGAAACGTAAAAAAGTTATCACAATTTATATTAATTTATATTTCTATTCATTTAAATTTCATAGAAATTTATTTTACGATATCCAGTCGAATATACAAATCAGCGCCTAGATGTGAGGCAGTGCGAAAATCTTGTGTATGTTGTGCGTCATTCCTAAGTTCTCTGTGATGTGGCTTAATTACATATAACCCGGGTATGGTACTGATTTCCCGTAAAGCTCCTCAAAGTTTTTGAAAACGAAAATGATGAGGAGAATAGTAGTGTATGTTATAACTTTCAATATAACCTCTCCTCAAAACGGACAACACAGATAACCTGTGGGCACAGCTAATAGATGTGTTTCGTGGGCAGCATATTCAATTTTAATTTTTGACATAGCAAATATCACTGATTTTAAACAAATTCAGACCAATACACACTGCTACTCAACCAGACATCTTCTTGGAGTATACTCTACAGACTCTGCAGATTCTGCAACCAACAAAGCATGATAATAATTCTTCCATGGATGAACGGTTTGGATGACGTTCGCAGCGCTCTTAGCAAACAAACGCGAAATTACTATTTGCGCCCTAGGAACTATCTAGGCAACAAGTTGACATTTTGTCCGTTTTTTTATTTTTAAATATAAAGCTCTAGTTATAATTGTTGGACGAAATAAAAACATTCACAGCAGTGACCCTTTTCAAGTCGCTGAGTCTGTTTTTGAAATAAATTCTTGGTTAACGAATAGTGGTGCACCCTCATCTCAACATATATTAAATTTCAGTCTGTCAAGTCAGCTTGGATTAAACACCAAATTCCTGCCTAAATATATTCTGCACCCCGTCGAAGCAGGTGCCTGTGAGCCGAGAGTTCCCAAGGATGTTTTAAGGTGCAGGCAGATAGTAAAAAGAACATTGTTAAGCATGCCGGAAAAGCTCACTTTGTCTTTGTCCTGTCCCCTTCTGTACGCTGGAAGCTTTCCCTCGGATCCAAAATAAACATAGGATAGGACTGGGAGAAAGTCTTGTGTTGTACCACCGCCGCGATGGAATGCAAGGAAGAAAAAATACTGAATGGCTCTTAATATAAAAAGCAAATCGGCAGTTGAATGATACATTAGCTGCTCACTAAACGCTTACATTTTGTATAAGTCGCTTGTATAGAAGAGACATTTACTCTTGAAAATGGAGGAAGACAGATGAATGACATCGTTATTCGCTTTACCAAATATGCTCGAAATACTCAAACCATTGGATAAAATAAACAAATGATCCTACGGCCTCAGATGTCAAGGTCTTAGAACATCTAAATGTAATGCAAAGTCCTTCTTCCACCATCAGAGTCCAATATCTTGAAAATGGACTATAGGAATCTAATGCAAACTTCAAGAAGTAATAAATGAGTACTCTAGAGCAAATAAACAAGTTCACAAAGCGAAGTACCTGTAGAAGGATTTTGGACCAACGTGTAGCCGTACCCGTTATCATATTTGAATATCTAGAGCTATACACATAGTCTCACGAATTTACATATTTTGCCGTCCTACTTTGGAATGGCTAATTTCTGGGTGTCGTTCTCCTAAGCTTCAGACCCTGCAGAAAGTCCCACAACCTTTGATAACTAGACCTTTATTCTGACAAAACTTTGATTACTAGATAGATAGTGCACCACGGCTCTTGTAGGATCTTCAGGCTTTCTGTCAGTGATGGCTTCCAACTCTTCAATATGTCCGAACTTCACCAGGAATCCTCTTACAACATCTCTCAGCGCCTTCTTGACATCGGGACCTCTGTGTATTGGAGCGTATTAGTAGTATTTGTCGAACCAAAAATACCCGTGCGGCAATATAGAGAGCGCCTGAGATCTTATTGGTCACCAGGCCATAAACTTACGGACAGGTGCAGATCTTGGAGTATCGCCGGTACCATAGCGGCAGTTGCAGTTCATCCTCAGAATGAAGGATTGTGGAAAAGTATGTGCACTGAGGAGAGTCTGAAACCTGGCTAACCAGTTCCCCTTCCTACAGCAAGGGCACGTTTTGTTGCTCTTCTTTGGATGCTCCAGATCTTGCCGCTTTAAGGTGGACTGTTCAGTCACCTAGACGACCCAGTGTCTTCCTCGAGGAGCCTTGCTGGTGCGGTAGCTGACATGGCATGGTTCTTCACGGCGCAACTGTTCTTTCGGGCACTCTGTAGCACTGTACATTCCGGACCCTCAAGATCAGGCAGCAAGATTTCGTTCGTCTTCTGGGTGAAAGTACACAATATAACATATAAAAGTACATAATTTTATTCTTCAAAGTTAAAACATTATCTTATACATGTGAGTCTTAAGATTACCGAGATGCTCCGCAAAATCAATCAAGATTAAACAAAACCAAAATGAATTATGACTCACACACTCTTACAGCAATACCTTAGCTGTCCATATTATTTCAATTCACGGTAAATGTCTTGAAAACGCTACCGAAGCTGCACGAGTGCATGCAGATCGTTTTTGAAAATCCTTTGTGATTGTGTGCGAATTTAGTAATGTGCTGGAAAGCAGTCCGCTCTAAAAGCCTACACCGATGCTTGGCTATGTCAAGCACATACATCGCAGATAACTTTAAATGATACTTAGAAGTGACAGAGCTCTACTTGAAACTTCTTTTCGATGGCTGATGAGCACTTTAACCTATTTCGTATGTATATTTTTTTTTTTACTTTACCGCTGCTGTTTCACCGTATTTGTTTATGAAAAGTTCCAACTTTCAGGACACCGTGTATATTCACTGCATACTTCTTTTCGGTCAACTCTTGACCAAGCCTATTAAAATGCAGAAGCTATTTTCTGATGATCGTTTAACTGGTGCTCAGAAAATAATTACTCATGCCCTATCTAGTGTATCGAGTCTGGGAGCGGCGAGTGTCGCTGAAGACATTGAAACTAGTTTGTTCGGTCTGTTCTTATTCTCAAACGACCTATCTTGATTGAAAATTCATTTTGCAGTGGCAGTCATTTGTCATTTCAGGTTTACGTCAATTATTCACGGTTAATTGTTTTCTGATTGGAAGAATTTTTCATGGGCGTATCATACATTTCAATTGAGGTTAACTTCCTTCAAAAAATATGTGACATTTGATCAGCATTATATACAGGTACAGAACGAATTTTGATAGATTAGAAAGATCCAAGCCTTCATGTTTACATTGCATTGTTTTTCGCCAAAATTGCTTAGTGCATTTGACTCACTTGACTACCAGTGCCTACTAAAGTGACAATGTTACATCAACACAATAATAATACTTACCGGTGGAAACATCTACCTCCAATAGTCTTGTGCTGCTTTTTCAATGTCAGAGCTGTCAAATGATTAACTTATGTTAAGTGCACTTGTAGTATGCACATTGATTCTCACTACAGGCTGTGAGTATTAGGAGACAAATCCTTGAGTGCTTTCTTGTACCTAGTCTGACATACACTGAACAATTTATTCACTAGACACATTCGACACATCAAAAACATTTTGAACGACTTGACCGAATTCTACTAAAAGAACGATTTAGAAATCGAAAAATCAGACTCTTCCATCTGATAGCTCATTCAAGTTTATTCGCTCACTTTGGGTTCATCACAAAAACTTCCATAATGCTGAACCGGTTTCCATCAGACCCAGCAGAAACTATCTTGACGAACAACACTTTCGATTAAATAAATCACACTCGAATCCACTCCTCTGTTGGAGGATACACTCAAAGATACACACGCTAAACTTATAACATCACCTGTTTTTGCATTCGGGGGTAATAGAAAGGCTGTCGAAGTTACAGGATAAACCTGTCCTACCTGAAGATGAGAAGAATAGGTCTGAAAGACTCTAACGCCATCTATGAGACAGTAGCCGAACACAAGGATGCACTTAGAAATCTACTTTGAAAAGGTAGTTTTTGTTTTGACTACTATCTCATGGATAGAATACGTTGATCAGGTGGTTATCTAAGAACTTCGTCTGCAGGATTTTATATAAGAACACCTATAAAGTACTTATTCCGTTGGCAATCCAAGACTCTGTAAAAACTGTGTCTACAGACGCTTTGTAACTATAAGTACCAAAATGTTATTAAGCTTGTAGTCGACCCAAGTATTATTGTCTCTACGTGCTTCTTTTTAAATTTATTTCTGAAGTGGTGTAGAAGCGGAGGGTATTAAAAGATCAAAGAAAAAGGAAAGTGAAACTTCGTCGTGAATATTTCCAATTACTTTTTAGTTAACATTTCAAGATCGCGCTTTGGCAAACTCCACTTTGATTTGAACTGCGAGATGTTTTATTTTTTATGGCCTATACAATATGTGGAAATAGCTTATGATCACGCTATCGATAGTGGAATTACGGAACGGGGGAACCTTTGATGAGACATAAATGACGTTAAGGTTCGTTTTAACTCGAGAGTAAATCAAGAAATTCTTCATAAGTCAGCTAGTCTAGCTACAAGGAATAATTTTTTATTAACACCGCGTTTCAATTGATTCACGAGTAAATTGATTCACGGATCAAAACTGACCAATCAGAAAACGTGTTTGAAGTAACGGATCTAATAACTAAAGTCTATTTCTTCTTTTATATATATATATATATATATATATATAGGGCCGATTTCACCAACATTATTATTATTATTATGGACCAATAGGAAAATACCTTATCCAAATGCAATTTGACGGAAGCTGTCAAAGGTGTCAGAATATCAGTGATTTCTATTAAAATGTTGAATAAAATCGTAAAAATTCCACTGTATTATAAACAAGACCACTTTTTGATTCCAACATGATGCTTTTGTACAGAAAAAAACAGGACGGACAACTTTCATGTATTTTGATGTATGTTATAGGTTTACATTTAACAATCCGTTATCCCCTCAGCGAATGGGAATGGGAGAAATAATAGGTCGATTATTTAGCTGTTAAGTTTGGCAGCAGGTTTGGTCGTTTGTTAATTCATGGCAATCTCGAATTTTGTTAAGTTCAATATACTGTGTGTATATTATGAGATCATTATAGCTACACATCCCTGTTGAATTGTGCGGATTTGCAAGAAAATAGAATATAAAATGAATTCCAACCAATTCCTCATCTCTCTTTACATCATAATAGTAATCATTTGTTATAAATTCATGGGTTAATGAATTTCTTCAAAGCAATCAAAACAGTATGGTCGTCCCCATCCTGAAACACCGATATGTGTAAAACATGTTAATTCCTACATCTCCGAGGTGCATAATGCAATTATTGTAGACATAGACCTAAAATTAATAGTAATTACTAAAAAATAATGTCGAGCTCATGCACGACTTAACGTAACCGAATTTAAGGATCAGTTGTTTCTACACCAGTGTCCTCCTCATGTTATGCCGCCAGGTGGTAACTAGCTAGTGATTTCCAGTGGTGGTTAAACGTTTTGGTGACGTCACAGCCATTTTTTGACATGATTCGGGTGGTTTCGGAACTCGTCTTACCCTTGGATAGCCCTTTCTATACTGTTCTATTCTTGTATTGACGTAATTATAATAATTCTGTGGTGTCTCGTGTTCCACGACGATTTACGGTCAAAGCCAGGCGGTGAATCATCTGTTGTTTTTGTTTGAGTTGTTGACGAATTTGCGGTAGAGATTTGTTTTGGTGTTCGTCTTCGGGTGTGTTTTTCTGCCTTGGACTTGTTTTTTGTGCCATTAATTGAGGATGGCCATGCCTAGAGCAAAAAAAACGAGAGCCGCGCTGGAATCAACTCCTGACCCTGCCGAAGGCACCTGAACGCAATCGGACATCGCCAGAGGAGCGCCTAATGATGACGTCGTGTACACGTTAAATCTGCACGAACCCCTAAATACGTGGTTATGTTGAATGTACCATCACCGATGGTGCGACTGAGCATACACTGAAAAAACTGCAACTGCAATAATTGTATGTATGAATGTTGAAACTGTTGAACAGTTTCGGACCAGGGGGGTTAAAATATCGTTGAGGAACTGGAAAGAAGTGTATGAATGTGTTGAAATGCAACACCTAACAAAAATTTTAGTGAAAAGGCTTTTTCATGTAAGGGTTTGGAATTGCAAGTTTGCAAATATAGGATAAACTATAAGCACACAGTAGGTGATATAATCACATATGGATTACAAAAGTTGCAGTAAACATGGAAAAACCTTCAGCTAATCTGAAAAAATAGATTTTACTCAGACATCAAGCATTTTTAAAAATTTTGGCTCAGTTTTACATAATTTCATAATATTTAATAAACTGAAAATATTTTACAGTGTTTTGTTTTGAATACTTTGATGCTATTTGCTGCCAAAAATTTGACGGAGAGATCTTGAGGCTGATTGGGTATATTTAACGGACTGTTTGGTACTCGTACCCTATTAGTGCAGAATAATGGTTTGTTAAATTGTGAAATCCACCCTAAAGCTAGCAAAAATTGTAAGGTTTGTGTGAAAAAGGCCTCTAATATATATCTTAAATCATCTTCATAACTTAAAAAAATTCTATATATTATTAATTTGATGAATACTGCAATTAACTGCGACCAAATACATATTTTTCTCTTTCAAGGTTTGTCGCTGGTCAGTCAAGTTAGATCGTCGAGTTTTGTCATTGCAGTACCATATTCTACTTAATCAATCATCTGAAGACGTAAATTAAGTTACAGATCGCGCATTCTTTAATGAGCTTCCGGTACATATTCGATTCACTTGGCTACCGTGCGAAATAGTCTGTTTCTTTCCAACTATTTATATGCTCCACATTTGTTTAGACCTAATTTGCCTGACTTATGATCATTGCACCATGCTGCCATCCGTGTTCAATAAAATGAAGCAGGATGGTGAAGTTGATTGAAGCAAACGCTGTCAACGGAGAACGAACTGTTGTAGTGTTGGCGGATCCACCGCCCTTGCGGCTTATTACGTCAAATATAGATAAATAGTATATATTTTATAGCTACTAACAAACAAGTGTGTGTGATTTCAAGTTATAGTACTTGATACTTTTTCAGTTCAATCTAAAAAGCCGAAGTGGTGTTTAATATAATCTACAGGGTGTAAACGTTATGATGGTTATTATTTAAATGAGTGATAGAGGGTGTTAAAAGAAGCAAAAAGTTTCATATAACCTGGGGGTCAAAACGGCATTTTTTTAGAGAAAAGCGACTTTAAAGTAAAATAAAATCTGACAACGCCGCAATGCCAGACGCAAATTACGATGGAACGCAGTGTAAATAAAGATGGAGTTTGTTATTTTTGGCTCTTAGGTATTATTTAATTATTTGATAATGCAATCGTAAAATGCAAACAAACGGAGTAACCACTGTCTCATCGCTTCACCTGGTGTGTGAAAGTTTATTGAACGTATTAAAAAAATTCACTTATAAATAGAGAACACAATTTTGATACATACATTGTTTTTCTTTTTAAAACTCACACTGCACTTTTTTTTATTTAAAGAAGGTGTTCGAAATGTCGTCCTCCACTTTCCACACAAGCTTCATTACGACGAACCCAGTTTCTTCTTACTCTAGGTCCTCGAAGTTGTGAATTTTTTCGCGAAGTTCTGCTTCAGTTGTTATTCGACCAGCCCCATAAACCATCCCTTTAAGTTCTCCCCAATACCAGATATCCATCGGATTGAGGTCAGGAGATCTTGCTGGCCATTTTCGAGGATCAGAAGCATTTCGACCGATCCAGCGATTTGGATAATATTGATTCAAATACTGAATGACGCCTATAAAAATGTGTGGTGGTGCCCCGTCATGAAGAAACCACAAATTCTGTCTCCGTTGTAATGGCATGTTGTCTAAGGTCTGTTCCAAAAGTTCTGGTAGGTTATTGGCTAGAAAGCTAAGGTATCCTTCTCATGACAACTTTGGGGGTAACTCGAAAGGGCCAATTACCTGATCGTCAAGAATACCCGCCCAAATATTTATTTTAAAACGTTGGAAATGACCTTCACGAATGGTATGAGGATTTTCTTGGGCCCACGTGTGAGTATTATGAAAACTTAAAATCCCGTCTCGCGTAAAAGTACATTCGTCCGTCGCTAGAATGTTTTTAAAAAAATCCGTATTTTCAATGTTTTTGTGCAAAAACCACTGACAGAATATTAGTCTGCGAGGATAGTCTTCTGGTAACTAAACCTGCACTCGTTGTACATGGTAGGGATAAAGCAAATTTTCCCGTAGGATTCTATGGACTATGGTATGCGATAGTCCTACGCGACGGCCTATCTCCCGAGTGCTGATATCTGGATTGATTTCCACGATATTTAAAAGTTGTTCCTCCCGCTCTACAGTAACGAATGCGAATATTAGTGGGCTGAACACTTCCTGTATCCCGAAGTCTTTGGTACACTTTCACAAACGTCCTTCTGTCTGGGTGTACCCATTGGCGAAATCTGTCCCGACAAATTTGAGCTGCAAGATTTGAATTCTGACCAGCTTCACCGTAAACTAACAGCATGTCGGCGAACTCTTGATTCGAGAACATTGTAAATAAACACGACGACGTACGCGAACAAAAACAAAACAATACGTCCGATGCTCTGCCCGACAAAACGATAAAGTAATTTATCTATGCAAAACGATAACTAACCACTGTTACCGTTTGCGATCGATTGCCGGTTCGATAAGAGTGATGAAAGACCGACGTGCTGTTGTCATGTGTGTTTTAAATATTTAGTTTAATGAAACTTACTTACTGACTACAAATTTTGGCTTAACATAATGCCATTTATTTGTTAATTACCGAATTTAAAAACGTTTTAGATTAGATTATAAAAATTAGTAATATTGTGGTAAGTGTGGTCGATATAAAGCACTTAGAGTAGTAAACTATAAAGCCATTTAGACAAAAATCTATAGACTTTTGGACCATGGGTCATATGAACTTTTTGACCCCCCCTCTATTACCCATTTCAATAATACCATAACGTGTAACGCTTATTTTTTGAATCTACCACCTTTTGAGCCACAAGACTTTTCTTTCAGCAAGTGACTGTGGCAGCACTAGTAGCAATATAATGAATGTCTTTCCTCTGCTCTTTCTTCAATAAACATGCATAGAAGCTAGTAATAAGTAGTAAGAAATTTTTCCGCTATTTAGAGAGACATTTTGGAAGAAATCGACTATATTAATTAGAATTGTTACTTCAAAAACGCCTTCTGATTGGCCAATTCTGATCTGCATAACAGTCGACTTGCAAGCCATTGGCTATATCGGGACTAAATGTCATAATGTTACACCCCACCTCATCCATAAATAATTTATCTGATTCCGTCTTTATAATCCCCCCGCGGCTTCTTTTCTATTCCACACCCGGTGATCTTTAGAGGAGAAACTGGTCATCATAGCACAATCACGCTTTTTTCACTAAGGTATCGACAATGAGGAACTACCCACAAGAAAAAATAATTTCCAGTTCTAAAGCTCCTAGATCAAGACTTACACCATTATTCTCACTGTAACCCCATATCCTTCATCATTACCATCTTCCTTCTTCCTTTCCCCATAATCTTCTTCCTTTTTCTAGCCTTTTGTCTGCTGAAAGCTGGGTATGTTAAATGCATAACATCAACTACGGCGTCCAAAACCGTATTTCTATCCACAGAACAAACGCCGTTGCTGTGGATTACAAGAAATATAAGCAACGGTCGTATTTTCCAGTTCCGATAATCGTCAGACTTCGCGCGGGATCTGACCAGTCCCGCTCGTTTCCGGTGTAATCCGGGAAAGCTCTTCCGGTAAAATCCACTGTAAAAATATCCGCCGCCACCGGGGTTTCCCAAAACACATAGACGTCAGTTTACGGCAAAGTAGGATCTAGTTTGGATTTACCGGCGAAAAATAGCAGACACGCGGAGAGCAGTTTCGTGTATGTTTGTCTTCAAACAACGGTTCCGGTGATTCCACTCGACTGGTTTTATTTCCTACGAATAAGCAAGGGAAGGATTGTTATTGCAAGGATTATATGTGATGAGCCTTGTGACTTCTTCGATTGTCATCGTACTTGAGAAAGGCCACCGTGGTGACTGAAACATCGTACGATAAACAGAAATTAAAACATGTATATACATCCTGAACGTAAACAACAATTAGCAACATCCTCACATACTACTGTAAGTTAAGTTAATTTAAATTCATTTTACACTGTTGTTGCTACTGTTATGAATGTAATTGTAGCTCCTGATGATGATGGCAAAGTCCACTGAAAGCTAGAGAGAATAAAAAAAGTATAAAGATTCCTCCTTGCTTAAAATTTTTGTCGAAGTACCCAACAAAAGGCGGAAGCTTTAATTTTTCACCTATATATATATACGTATGTATATAGTTTGATTCGGCCAGACAATGGAGTCCTGTTCTTCAAGCCATTTTCACATATTATATCTTAACACTCGTCTAGGATTTTGCAGGGATAGGCCTCGTCAATCGTACACACAAAAATGATCTTGTTTCAAGAGCAACCATCTTCAATTGAGGACCGTACTTCGATATGTTTCTATATCTTTGAATTAAGGTGCTTCGTTTCTTTAAAACAACGAAATTACCTCATTTAAAGTATCTGTGATCTCGAATCAATATCATTATTTCATAGAAAATCATGCTCTTGAATCAATAGTACTCTTTTTTGTGTGCAACTGTTACTCATCCTGTAGTGGGCCTAGACCATGCCTAGTCTGATGTACTGTTCACACGTACTATTTCGGGTGGACTCTCTCACTGACTGATGGCGCTTCTTTAAAGATCAGTTGCATACCCGGCTGAATAGAATCTGTTTGTTTCCCTTGGCCAACCGCATAGAATATTGTTCATGCCTTTTAGCAATCATCAGTAAGGTCTAGCTATTTGGAGACAGATGACGGAAAGCAAGCAAGAGAAGGCGGGTCTATTAAAAAAATCAATGGTGGAAACTACTCATAGGTTCGTATCACTCTTGTTTTATTTTTCACACTTCGTGGGCTTCTAAGTAGCTGTCAATTTGGATTTGCTGAAGGTAGATCAACTGTGGAAAATTTGATCTCTTATATAGTTTATCTGTTCGACGCCTTGGGAAAGGATCCTAGAGGGCAATACTGAATCTATAAAAATCACTGGGCATCTTCGAACTTTATTGTTAAATGATGGGTTTCTCAGTGGTCCCATTCTTCTGCCGTCCTCTTCATATTGTTTGTGAATGACATTTATAATATTCTCATTTATTCTAAAGGAACTATGTTTGCTGATAACCTGAAAATTTACAGGACAATTACAAGTGTGTGAAAAGACTTGTATTTGTGGAAGATTCTACAATCTATGTTGCTCGAACGCGTATTTAAAAACAGTGGTTTAGTTACTAACAAGTTTACAGACCAATCTACTCGACTCCCTTATCAGATCGTGTACCTTATTTCTTATTTTATTCCACGGTTTTGCTTTTCGACACAAGTGTGAATTTGCTGCTTATGATAAAATCGCGAAAATCATGTGAACGTCCAAACCTGAAGGCGCTTTTTTGTATATGCTGGAAATCATGAGTCATGTCCACTTGCGAGTCTCTTCATTTCCCTAGTCTGTGAAATTAATTAAAAAATTCCCCGTCTCGCGTCAAGTAGCACTACGATAATCGAAGCGCTAATTAGACGGTGCAGGCGATTGTTTTTCCTTATGAATTAATTAACTTTTTACGCCGTACGGCAAAAAATGGATAAGATAGGAAGAAGTAACTCCTCTAGTGAATCATGCAATTATTATTCGAATCTAATTAGCAAAGTTAATATTGAATCTTAAACTTTGTTTCCTAAAGTCTGGAATAACAACTTTCCAAAGTTTTGGGGAAGAAAAAGTTGTAGCATGATGTGATATTTTGTTTTAAGGATTTTTACAAATCTCATTGAAATCGTACACAAAAGGCATGCAAAATGAAAAAAGAATCCGTTGAACAATTGTCCAAATCGATGTTACATGTTCTGAAGGCGGGTTCAAGTGGAACGACTCAATACATCCGGTATAAATAAATGTATATAAAATTTTAGATACATGATCATTGGTGAGAAGCGAAATAAGAGAATCGTCCACGTGCCAAAATTTTTGACACACTACTTTTTATTGACTATACCCTAAACTGACCAAAAAGTTGAAAACGTCGAAAACCCATCGTTTTTGATGTTTGACCTATCGAAAAATATTTTTGATTGCGCCAAAAATTCATCAGCAAATCTAAAGACATGCTTTGGAGACGTTCTGTAAATTTTCCTCTTTTGTTTATAGCCCCATTGTGACTGGGCCAATGACATGGTGCATATCATATATCATAAAAAAATGGCGTCAAGTATGTTAACTCTGTAGTTCCTACGCAACGGATAAAGGATTTAGGTCAGCACAAGTTTAACCCTCTGAGAAAACAATTCGTTATGAAACATACAGAAATCAAATGGATGATGTCAGTCAAACGATTAGTACATAGACAATCTTTCCCTATCCCACCGGTAGTTACCGTACATATGGCAGCGTTGCTCCTTCACATCGTTAGACGCGGCAGCGCCCACCTAAGCACCGCCGCAGCACACCAGAACAGTCAAGCAGACCGTTACGTCTGGCGCTGAGCCCAGCAGAGGAAGACGCGTATTGAAATCATTGAAATCATTCTAAGTTTTAAAAACAAATGTACGAGGAAGCTTATGATGTACTCAACAGCGTATAAATATACTAACATCAAAATTTATCCAAATGTTAACAAGATATTCCAAGATATTCAGGAGCCAGGGATTACCGGGCAGACCGACAGACAGACCCGCGAAAATGAGTTATCAGATACCTTAAAATTTTAGATTTCAAGGTTTATTTCTGCAGCTTCGCAAACGATAACTTGTGCTAGTCACTTATTGCTACTCTGAATGTTTAAATCGTTCTTTACGCTACTGACGCAAAAAGCTCTCTTCTTAGACGCGAAACATCACTTTTCCGACTCTACATTTTCCAAGCTCGCCTCGACCAAACGAAAAGGATAACAAGCAGTAAGTTAGCGGGAACACTAGCTGCAGAGCTGTCCGTGGAGATGTATGTTTGTTTTGGGAAGTAACAGTCTCTAAAACATTATATGCCCGCGTATTTAGTTTTGTTGCTGCAAAACTCTCGCGCTGCCGGGCGCAGGTTTATGCTTTTCCGATTCTGTCGCATTCAAATAAACCGGTTGAATTAAGAAATTGTCTACACGACTGACTACTCTGCTATACCGTAGCTTTCGTTCTCGAGGGACGCTAGCTTCGTAGCGTTACGTAAATAAACGCTATACACTAAGGAACCACGAAGCTGGAACAGAAGACTTCGCTATAGCTGACATGGGATGGGATCAACCCTTCTAACATAACGAGGTACACTTTTTGACGATCTCATAAGCCTATTATCGTGATTCTTCCAAATTTACATTTAGTGGGTCTCATTCTCCTGTTACTTATTCTTATAGCGTCAACAAACTACAGACCAGATCAAGGATTTGGGAGTTATCGTTTTACTCACAATTATCATTTACTTAGATATTTAAAAAATAGTCAACTGTGCATACAAGATGTTAGATTTTATAAATCGTGTGCAGAAAAAAATATTGAAAATCTGTGGATATAAAATGGGTTTCGCTAGGAAGGAGTATAGTTAGTTATACATGAATTTGATTTGATCGATGCATGTTGGAATTTGACTTCTTTTCTTGCACAAAATTATCAATGGTCACAATTTTTTGTCTTCAAATGTCAGAAAAAATTTCGCTTAATGTGAACGTTAGGGGAACGCCTAATACTGATACTTTCTTTATTCTCTTCCATCAAACAAGTTACGGTTTGAATGAATTCATAACTCGTCTTCTAAGGTTAGTTAATACATATATAGGAGTTTTCAGAACTTCTGTTAATGAGTCTAAACAAAGTGTTAAGAACGTTGCAATGTAACTTTTAAGTGCAGACTTTTTTCTATTTGTAACAAGAGTTTTGCCCGTTGATTAAACAAATAAATTTCGCTGTTTTATCTTAGATGATTCTATTATGGTAAGGAAAATGGCCAATTAGTCACGTAGATCGACGCGGTATTAACTACTCGTAAACTAATTTATGTCAAAATTGTGCAAGCACATATTACTTCTAAAGTTCTTAAAACGTCTTCAAACTCTGTGAATCTATGGCATCATGAATCAATTTGAATGCATGCTATTGAATATTCTGAGTAGGAATACCCTCAAATAAGCATAATAATGAGGAGTGTGTAAAAGTTCAAGTCCACAAACAAATGCGAAATTCAGGGACGATCCAGAAATATTCATAACTGCGTGGCCACTAAACTGATTTTCAAAAATTAAAGGTAGATATTATTTACTATGATCCCATATCTTCTCGCATCCCGAATTTGCTGAAAATCGGATCAGCTGTTTTTGAGTTTACGCGGTTACAACAGCGCCAAAAAACAAACAAAATGTCCGACGGAAATAGTGAGTACTAGTTTTTATGATTTAAAGGTATAAAACATTTGAAAGAAATCTACGCGTTCACGATTTTTCCTTTCCTCAATGCGAAATAATAAAATAGAATGTGGTTGGTAGATTTTTTGACTTAAGATGAACCTCCGCAACCTCAACGATAAAGATTGTGTATTCTTTGCAT